TCTCTCTCTCTCTCTCTCTCTTTCTCTTTCTCTCTCTAAATTTCCACTTCTGGCTGTATGATTTTTTTCACAGCCCCCTGCCTCCTATTTATAGGCAATCTGACGCACCCGGAACGGCCCGTACTGATTTCGGAACGGCCCGTTCCGGAACGTTCAAATATGCGTAAAATTCTCAACTGGAACGGCCCGTTCTAATATCGGAACGGCCCGTTTTCAAAAAGCAGAACGACCCGTTCTGAAACCAGAACGGCCCGTTCTCAATCTCAGCAGAACGGCCCGTTCTCCCTCCGGAACGGCCCGTTCTCCTTGTTGGAACGGCCCGTTCTGGGCCCGTTCTCAACTTGAAATTTCAGTATATTTTTATTGCTTGGAACGGCCCGTTCCAATTTTGGAACAGCCCGTTCCAAGTTACCCTTTTACCCCTCAAACTTTAATAAAATTGCGAAAATACCATTAATAATAAAATTACAAAAATACCCTTATTCCTTTATTAAAATTACAAAATGCCATTAATTACAAAAATACCTTTTAAAAAAATTGGAGTGTTACAGTTTAACCCTATTGAACCATAGTGTTAGACCTATCTCAGCTAGGTCAGATACAGGACAACGTTTTGCCTCAAAGACACCCAATTTTAGATAACTTAATTTGATTTTTTAGGTTTTACCACTCAAACTATGAATTATGATACTATGTTGAGGCAAGAAAAGTTAGGTATAAACTTACCACGACATTAACTTGCAATACCAAGACACTTATGGAATTAACCCACCAACTACCCTTCAAATACCACAACCTTTCAACACTAAGTTAAAGACCAGGTCTTCAACTTTGTATTTTATTCGGTTAGTCATTCAACTAGGATATGGTTTGACTACCTTCGTATAAAACCACATAGATTCTCTAAAGGGAAGATAAACTTAAAAAACAACACAATTCATCTCCAGCATCTATGTATCTTAATTTAAGACATGCATCTCAACAACATGTTCACAACTTCACAACGTACAACTTACATCTTAACATCATCAACTGATCATTTATCAACTTACAACATAAGTATTCATCAATATATATATATATATATATATATATATATGTGTGTGTGTGTGTGTGTGTGTGTGTGTGTGTGTGTGTGTGTGTGTGTGTGTGTGTGTGTGTGTGTGTGGAGAGAGAGAGAGAGAGTTAATCACCTATACACTGTCAGTGTAAAGTTTTTTACACTAGCAGTCAATCAGAGTCGTTAATAGTGTTTTTTTTAAATTTAATTAAATGAGTAGATGAAAAGACACTATTAACGACTCTGATTGACTGTCAGTGTAAAAAAACTTTACACTAGCAGTGTATAGGTGATTAACTCATATATACATATACATATATACATATACATATATATATATATATATATGAGTTAGTCACCTATACACTGCTAGTGTAAAGTTTTTTTACACTGACAACCAATCATATATTTTAATAGTGTCATGTCATTTGCTTATTTAATCAAATAAAAATAAAATAAAATAATTTAAAAATTATGATTGGTTGTCAGTGTAATAAACTTTACACTAGTAATGTATGAATGATTAACTATATATATATATATATATATATATATATTCCAACACACAAACAACTTTATCATCAATTTTCAACTATAATTCATCATAGGATAATAATTTAGCAACAACATTTTTGTGCTCGACGCTACTCAAATGGTGTCCAACATCATTGAGATAGAGAGCTTTTTGTCTTGCTTATGCACAGTGTCACACCACTCACGTCGAGTGTGATTGAGGCATAAAGTGTCAAACTATTCTCACACACCTTTGTCTGACTCACATTCGATGTCACATCCATTAACGTCTAACGTTTCACGTGAACCCCAACACAAACGAGTCTCTCTCTTCACATCCAATACTTTTTAGATCACGCCCAACACTAGTCCTACATGAAATCGTTCCCTTCTCTCACACTTGGCATGAGAAAAGGGAAAACCCTCTAGTTGAGTTGTGCCCAACACGGTGAAGGCGCGCCCAATAAGACCTTAGTTATGCACTTATGCAGAACTTGAAAATCATCCAATCTACTTGTAATTCAACCAATTTCCAACATACCATGTATAAAACAACATGTAAGCATCATAAATAGTTTTAAAACTACCTCATTTACAACATGTAACCATAAATCAACCAAGATTTAACATTTTCACTCATACACCACTTTAAGTGCTACAAACTCAACAAGCCACATTTCATTGCATCTTCATCATAATCAACCACACTTAGATAATTCTAGACAACATCGGACCACATACAACATGGATTATTCAAATTACAAGTTTTCCTTACCTCTTGTAAAATCAAAATTAATAAGAGAATGGGAAGATAGGGATGCTCCGCACACTCTGTACAGTTCCAAACCCAACCATCAACACTACAACTCAAAACCTCTCAACTACTTTGGTTAACTCCATAAGAAAGAAGAAAAATAAAATTTTAGGAATGAGAAGAAAATAATCAATTCCTTTCAATCTAACTAAATAAGATAATGCAACTCTCCCTTCATAAAGTCAATTGCTCAAGTATATGATACAATAAAAATTAAACAAAACACCATGAGGATAAGTGGTTTGTGGAGAAAAAAAATATAAATAATCATTATATTTTATTCTCATATCAAATTCAATATGTATCTTTTATACTAGATTAATTTTTTATCTCTCTTCTCCTTCTTCTCTATTCTTAACCCTTAACCTCATCAATAATTGCAAATTTACACCATAGGTTAATTTATCTCATCATCTTATGCTTTTCTGTCAATATTATATATTATTTTTGTATAATAATAAACAAAGAAACTAAAACATGATAAAATAAATTAAAGATTAAAGTATTAAAACAATAATTAAAAATATATAAATGAAAAACAGAACAACTTTATTTGAATAAATAAAACAACGCAAATTAAAAAAAAATACTTAAAATTTTATATTGTGATATAATATAAAATATTTTATTTAAATAATTATATACATATAAGTACCATGTATGATGTAAGTAAAAGTACAATGCACAACAAAGTGATACTATAATACGAGTTAATTGTCCCATTTGTCTCCATTTTTCGTTACGCGAATTTTTTATTTTTTAATTAGTTTTTTTTTGGCGAAAAAAAAAAACCCACTACAAATCTGAAAACTCACAATGAAAACAAGTTGTATAAACATCAACTATATAGGTCAAAATAATAATAGAAAGTCGTACATAATAAGAAATATATTTTAGGAACTTGTAACGTTTATTTTTTCTATTATTTATTAATATCCTTTTTTTTTCTTCAACATACACTTTATAATTGAGAGTTATTTCAACTCTTGCCGTACATATTGACGAAAAGTTGTTTTTATTATATTTATTTTTACTTTTATTTTTAAATAAATATACAAATTATTGTTTAATATTTTTTTTTGCTTTTTTAAATGAAAGTATGAATGGTCTCTTTCCCCTTACTTCATAATAATTTTACTATCTTTTTTTTATAAAAAAATGATATTAAAAATAATTTCCTATTAGTTAAAGTATAAAACTAACTATAAGAATGTATGAAATAGTTAAAAGATAAGTTAGGGGTTAAATTGAAAATTAAGAAATAAAGTAATGAACTGAGAATAATGGAGAGTGGCTAGTTCATCTATGTGATCAATCTCACACTGCCATGTTGTTGATGTTACCAATGCAATGCATTGCCTTCTTCATCTCTCCCATCGCAATTGAGAAACCCTAACCCTAATCCCCAACCAAAATGATGCAGAAGAAGGTTCCCGATTGGCTCAACAGTTCTCTCTGGTCCTCGTCGCCGTCGTCCCCTCCCTCCTCCGCCGTCGCCAGCCCGTTCGAACCGCCACCGCGTCCTCCCTCCCCCGCCGACGTGAGCCCGCCCGAACCGCCGCCGCGTCCTCCGTCGCCTCCGGCTGTCCACGATCCTCCGCCGACGCAGATAATCGAAGATTCGCCCAGGGAAGATCTCGGCGGCGACGCCTTTCCTTCCGCCCACGACGTGTCTCGTCAGGCGCAATTGCTGGCCGAGGTTGCCTCCGCCTTCGATTTCGTAAAACGACGGTGAATTTTCGCTGATTACTGCGTTTTAGAGTGTTGATTTTGTGATGGTTTGGTTTGGTTCAGTTGTCGAGGAAGTTGGTGGATATCAGCGAGTTGCGGAGCCTTGCGTGTCAAGGTATTCCTGATGCTGCTGGGTTGCGCTCTACTGTGTGGAAGGTTAGGTTTCCTTTTCATATTTTTTTTCACTCTGCATTTTAGTCGTTTTCTTGAAGAGTTTAATTTCCATGAACTTACAATTTCTACTCACGAGGAATCATTTCAAATATGACTTCTAAAAATACTTATTACAAAAGTTAACTTACCATCTATGTCAATTTGCGATTCAGATGACACTTTCGTAGTATTATTGTATTTTAATTGATACATTGTCAGTGCTTTTTTTTTTTTTTTTTTTCGGTGTGTGATGAAATTGATACTATAGTTAAATCCAGCTTAAATGGTTGTTTTGTATGAATAGGAATGCAATGACGAACGAATTGATTTTTAAGAGGAAAATGAAAGATATAGAATGGAAAACCAATTTATGATATTTCAGGTGAATTACATTATTTAGGCAAAAATGGAACAAGGAATTTTTTTTTTTTTTCACTAGGAATGTGCATTCCCGGCAAACCAACCAAACATGTGAATAGCTTATTCACATCCCCTTCCAACCAAACAAGTCCTGGGTACTTCTAAGTAAGAATTTGGTTTGGGTCCTTCTGGTTAGTGTAGATTGCTTACCTTTATTGATGGAATGAAGGAAGTGAAATCATGGGGTGCTGTTGCAATTCATGCTTATTGACTTTTGCAGCTTTTGCTTGGATATCTTCCGCCAGATCGAGGGCTTTGGTCATCTGAGTTAGCAAAGAAGAGGTCTCAGTATAAACAATTCAAGGAGGATATTCTCATGAATCCTGTAAGTTTGATGCTTAGGGAGCCTGATGCCTTCATGTCATCATTTCATTTATTTTTAACTTTAAACATTTTTATTGGGTAGCGAGGGTGTTAGTCTGGGATGCCTTAATTGTAATAAGGTCAATAACTGGAAACTGGTAGTGGTTGAACTAAAGCTTTAGAATCAAATTACATTTCCTTTTACTTTAGTTCATCTTATTGATTATTACGTCAAACTATGCATAGTAGAAGAGAGACAATTCAAAGGAATCTGTGGTCACATTAATTTTTTGAATTTAATTATATTTTACTTGGTTCTGTATCTGTCTATTACATTGATATGGTGCATGAATGTCCAAGAGGAATCTTTGCAGAATGAGTGATTGTTAATGCATATTCTATTTGCTTTATGTATTTGCCTTTCTGAATGTTTCTGTGGCTAGCTAGTCAGAAATCACAAGGAGGATGTACAACTCTACAAATTGTGATACTGACGATGCCAAATATGAGAGGGCATTGCTCTCTAGATCAGAAATCACTCATGGGGAGCATCCTTTGAGTCTTGGGAAGACCAGCGTGTGGAATCTGTTCTTCCAGGTACAATGCAAAATGCTCTGCTACTTATCATTTAATGGGAAAATCATCATATAGCCTTCAGCTTAAAATTGTTGGTGGTATTCTAGAGGTGGCGTAGTGTGAGTTTCAAAAATACTCAAGGAATTATATGATATGGTGGACTGTGGGTACTGTAAAATTATGCAGAAAAATATTACAAGGAGAGTATTTTTGGGGCTGAATATTTCTCTGTTTTCTTTCTTTTTCTCTTTCACATTTCAGCAGCACATACACATGTTTATATATAGATGAATGACTCTTACATTACGATAAGTTACAATTAGATAAAGAGTTACAATGGTCAAGATTCACAACAATAACTGACTATTATGGATAATAATGGACAACACATCACTCATACAATTAAAACTATGTAAGAATCACAGTGCATTTGTTTTGTTTAGATGTATTGTTCATTATCTGATTCTGCCTGAACATGTTGCACACATTCCATCAATATTAATCTCATGATGCATCAGTTCATGATGCTTATAATTTTACATGAATGGGTGGCAACTGAAAACCATTCTACTTTAAGATTTCTATACCAAAAAAAGGTGGATTGATCATAAACATTTTCCTTATTTGTAATCACAATCACTTATTGTCTATTGTGAGATGCTTCTCTAAATTCTTTAACAGTATAACATTACACTGTGATCTATTTGTTCCAATAATGACATGTCTTTATGAATTGGCTTAGCAAATTTTTTACCACATACTACTGATATCTTGCTGCTATCAATATATAATCTTTTAGTGAGCTCTGTGCAAAGGCTGTTGTGAAGCAAATCGTCCTCTTTACATTTTGTAGGATACAGAGATCATAGATCAAATTGATCGAGATGTTAAGCGCACTCATCCTGATATGCACTTTTTCTCTGGCGATTCCCAATTTGCAAGGTCTAATCAGGTTGTCCCTTTATTTGCCTTGAAAATTTGAAATTCATACAAACTCTAAATTCAAGTCGTTTCTTGGATGAACCCTTTGATTTATTATTACTTTTTCTTGGGGGGCATTTTCAGGAGGCCTTAAAGAATGTATTAATTATTTTTGCAAAGTTAAACCCGGGTGTAAGATATGTGCAAGGAATGAATGAGATATTGGCTCCTCTATACTACGTGTTCAAAAATGACCCTGATGAGGAAAATGCAGTGAGTATATGATAACTCAATCATTTTTTAATTTTGTGGTACATGATCTATCATGGGATTGCATTATCAAACACCTGGTTCTTTGTTACTGTCCTTGTTTATTATCCATGCTCTGCTAACCCCACTTACAGGTGCTTTAGAATGTTCATTTAATGTTGATTTAAATTTCATTTTTTATTTTGACTTTGCAAATTTCTTTTGAAGAAGTGTTTATCCTTGATAAGTAAATATGCTTTTCCTTTGTTATTCTTCTGATCAGATGCACTGTACTCTGGAAGGCTTTACCTTTTTATGCATACATTCTAAAAAGTCTGTTTCCTCATTCATTTGGTGGATATTTTCCAGTATATGTTTTAATAGAAGGGGCAGGGAAGAGAAGTTAAAATTCTTATGTGACCAGTTAAAAAGTAGTAATTGCTAACTTAGGGGAATTGGGACAGGAAATTTTTACTAAATGTAATGTGGTCATACGGCATTCCATTGTATACATAAAATGGAAAGTATGTGAAATAATTAATATGACCATGGGATTGTAGATTTTGGCACAAACAATTTGCTTAGGTCACAATATGGTGGGGTAATGTTGATTCATGTTACTGTCACGTGCTATTATATTTTTGGTTAACTCTGCTCAACAGTTCCCTATTATATAATATGCAGGCCTTCGCAGAACCAGACGCATTCTTTTGTTTTGTTGAGCTATTGAGTGGGTTCCGAGACAACTTTGTTCAACAACTCGATAATAGTGTTGTGGGAATCCGTTCAACCATTACAAGATTGTCCCAGCTTTTGAGAGAACATGATGAAGAGCTGTGGCGTCATCTTGAGGTTACTTCTAAAGTAAGACAATTTCTTTTCTGGTATATTTTCTATGATCCCAAAGTTTTCCTTTCAGTTTAAATTTGGAAATATTGGGGCCGGATAAGATTCTCTGTTGAAGTATTTTAATTCTTGACATTACAAATTACAATTATTAATTACTTGTTGGCACATTGCAATATTTACTGTTACACTAACATTGTGTACTGCTATGTTATTTTAAATTTTTAGACAAAATAAATAATAAATAAACAAAAGTTTGACTCCTTGCTTTATTTAGTGATACAGCCTTCTCTATGTTAGAATTGTTATTTTGGCCACTGTTTTTGTCTGTTTATACTGTTTTATGTCTCTCGATCAGTTAAGTAACAGGGCCTTTGACTAATCGTAATACTTTAGTTGCGTGCATATTTGGTGGATGATTCAACCGTGTATTTGCTTTTGGCTATTAATTTTTTTTATCAGAAATGGCTCATTTTTCCTGGTTCTGAATCTGAATGTCAGGTCAATCCTCAATTCTATGCATTTAGGTGGATTACTCTCTTACTGACTCAGGAATTCAATTTTGCTGACATCCTTCACATTTGGGACACACTTTTAAGTGATCCAGATGGTCCACAGGTACAATTCATATTTAATCTTGTACTATAATTAACTGGCATTTTAGACGTGTGATCCACTGGCACATATTTGATGACAGTGTTAAGACAGGTGATGTTGTACTTTTGTTTATACTTAAAAGTACTTTTGCTTGGAAAAAGAAAGGGGAAATAATTTGGCTCTATATACATGATTTAAGCTCAAGTGAGCATCCATTAATGAGAAAATGAAAATCAAGACGATAAGTTTTTATCAACTATATATTTTGCAATTAGACTGCTTGTAGTTGCTAAAGTTCTAAGTCGTTTTTTTTTCTTCATAATTGTGGTCCATTTTGCATTTCATTTTACTCTAAAATGCACTGTCCACTACAGAGGATCCAAATGTAAAGGAAAGATGAAGATTCATCATGCCATATGGTTGTTATAACAATGAAATATTAGAACATAAAAAAATTCCTCCACTTTGCATTTAGCTTCAGCGTGCATAAGATACAAAATATTTGCTTTCGTAGGTTGTTACTTGCTACTTTAACTTCGAGTTGCTTCTCAAACTCTGTAGAACTGGTGTTGGGTAGATCAGGAGGTTAATGAGCTTGGCTAATCTGTTTATAGTTCTTTTATGAAGTGTAAATATAGCCATATAAGAAAACTAATTCCAAACTCTGCAGGAGACTCTTCTCCGGGTATGCTGTGCAATGCTTGTTCTCATTCGTAAGCGCCTCCTTGCGGGTGATTTCACTTCTAATCTCAAGTTGCTGCAAAGTTATCCCACCACAAACATTAGTCATTTGCTATATGTTGCCAACAAGTTTCGTGTACAGTCAGCCTAATGGTTCTGGTTCTCGCCCCTGGTCTTTTGCATTTTGTCCCTGTATCTCTAATTTGTGTTTTAAATTCAATGCTTGTAATTGTAAATGACTCTTTTAAGTGTGAGAGGCTCAGAGCAGTGACTGTTTATTTTTTGTAAGGTCGGGGGTGGGGAGGATGTTTTCCAAAATGTGAGCTCGGTGAAACGCTTACAGTAGCAGGAACTGTTTATTTATTTATTTATATTTAATATGCTAGTATTTTTTTTTAATGGTTTCTTCATTTTGAGATTGGTGAAATACACATATATTCACTTGTGGACTCTTCAATGAACACTACATTGCTAAGACAGACTAACAGGTTATTCATGTATTATACAGATATTTTATAATTTAAATAAAATGTTTACGTAAAAATAAATAGAGGTGAGATTTTTAAAATTGTGGCTAAAATTTTAGGAATAAATTATCCTAAAAATCATTAAAATTAAGATAATCATTCTTATTGAATAATATGCAAAATTTTATAAATTAAATATTAAATGAGTCGAGATTTATTTAACTTTCTCTCCTTATTAAATGAGTTGATATTTATCTTTTCACATCTATCATTTTCTCTCCTTATTAAATGAGTTGATATTTATCTTTTCACATCTATCATTTTCTCTCCTTGAATACTTTCCTTCCAAAGAATATATGTATGGTACATTAGTTAATTTGGTTCATTTTGAATGGCTTTATATAAAAATATATTTGACTAATTGAGTACATATTATTTAGAGATTTTATGGTTACCCATGGTTAATATTTGGAACTTGGAAGCAACTGAAGTTTGATCACTTCCGGATTTCCATGATGCTAGTTTAATTGACTGGCGGCCTCCTTCTGGAGCATTTCTAAGTTCTAACATTGGATTACTGGTTTCTCTGACCAGTGTTCTGCTGTATACAAAATAAAAAAAAAAAACTAATTTGATAACACAAATAAAAATTATTATTACAACCTTAAAAGTTTGAATTGGCTTGTAAGACTAAGAGAAAGTTGTTATTTTAATTAAACCCAAACAATTTTATTAGTCTTTGAAAATTAATCTCAGCAAACAATAACCTTTGGTCAAAATGAAAATATCAATGTCCACTTCATTTTGAATCGGATTGAGATGGAGAGAAGAGAGAGATAAAAAAAAATAAAGAGAAAAAGTAATAGATATTAAATGAGATGAAAGTTAGGATAACTACTTTAATAGGTGATTTACGACGAGTCATAACTTTTAACAAAAGTTAAATTAAATTTATCTTACAAATTATTCTTGGTCAAGATTAACCCATAAGATAAAATGGTGGGATGGATGGAAGATATAACTTGTAAGATGAAATTATTCTAACGACGGTCCATCTATCAATATTGTCCATCATAATTTTTATTGAGATATAATAAAAAATAAACACAAAAATATAGATAAAAAAAATATAAAAGTAAGTTGTAAAAAAGTGGTATGTTACGTATGTATGATAAAAATTGGTTAAGAATTTACTAAAAACCAATGTACTAATAGTTGTTGTTCAAAAACTCATTTTTAAGCATTTTTTTTATACTTCATATTCTTTTATTTACTTCATTTACTTTTGAGCAATTTAATGGAAGACTTGCTTGATTATTTTTCTTTAGAAAAAAACATAAAATCAAAGAAAAAGGAGAAAACTAATGAATTGTTGATTTGAGTGTAATTGGACTTAATTCTTTAAGAGAGATCTTGATTTGAATTTTATGGATGAAAAAAAGTCTTTCAATTAAGATCAATCATTTATAAAATTAGTTGATATTTCTTATTTAATAATATAATTGTATAAAAAAAACACTTGAATTGACTAAATTGTAAGAATTAAAATAATATGCAATATATTTTATTTGAACTTTATTATTATGGTTATATGCTAAACATAAAATGAAATACAAAATGAAAAATAGTATGGTAATAATGGTATGGAAGAAGTACTGGTGGTAGGTGTATACGGAATATGAACATGATTGTCATTTTCCCTGTTTGGGTCAATCAGAGTGAAGCGAATCCGGTAAAGCAGAAAAGCGTGGTAGGTGAAATCCCTCTTGATCCCCACTGAACGGAGTATTTCTTGCTTTCTCTTACCCGCTTTTTCTTTCTTTCTCTTTTCCTCAATCCTCTCTTACACTCCACGACTACTCTTCCATTCCATCACTCATTTCCAAACCAAACCAAACCAAACAAAGCGTTTCTTCAGATTCAGACCCAAAATAACCCATGGTACGCTCTCACGAATCAATCAATATCAATATTTAATTTAATACTAAACGCCGTCGTACAATTGAACACACACCGTTTTGCGTTTCAGGCGAACACGTTGCGCTTATACTTGACCTGCATTCGGAACACGCTCGAGGCCGCAATGTGCCTCCAGGTTCGTTTCCCTCTCTCTCTCTCTCAGTCTTCGTTCATTTTCTATTTTCGCTCTTTCAAATTTCAATGACGCGTTTCGTTGCATTCGTGCTTCCAGAACTTTCCGTGTCAAGAAGTCGAAAGGCATAACAAACCCGAGGTTGAACTCAAGTGTGTTCTCTCTCTCTTTTACTTCGTTGCTTTGCTCCATTACGCTGTTTTTTTTTTTTTTTTTTTTTTTTTTTTTTTTTTTTTTTATAATCTGAATCTAATTGATAATGGAAAAGGAAAACTGAAGACGCAAAATCTGTTTGAATTCCACATTTCCAATGCGATGTGTTTAAATCGAAGCGATTGAGTTTGTTAATTTTGTTGGTTTATGTGCAGGACCAGTCCCGAACTCCTGCTCAATCCAGTAAGATCCATCTCGTTTTGTGTCATTTGTGTATAGTAATTTCTGCTTTGAGTTTTTCTACTTGCTTTACTAGTGAAAATTGGTGCCGTTTAAGATTTATGTAACTAGGTTGTTGAATAGTTAAAATTCTCTATGATCTTTCCTTCATGGTTGTTTAGCTAAGCTTGATGAAAATTGAATAGAGAAGTTAGGGTGCGAGGTGTTTTGAGTGGCAACTAGTTGAATGAAGCTTTGGCCCTAGGCTAAAGAAAGTATAAGTAAGGCAAATGATAGTTTGTGCTCGGGTTTTTTAGTTAAGAATGAGACTGTTGTTCTATTTCTGCTTCTTCAAAGTATGAATTGGCTGGTATTTAGGATTGTGGAGCCTAGATTTTGTGGAATTTGGGATGCTTCTCTACCAAGCTTCTGTTGTAACTATTGACTTTGTTCATCCTTCGGATCTTTTTCTTGGAATTATAATGTCCTTGTTGTGAGGGTCATGGCGCAGAGCTTTTGTTAAGTGGTACACAATCGAGTTGTTACTTGTTGCCTATAGATTTTGACAAATTAGAAGACCTTGTGAAAATGTCTTTTCTGCATATCTTCTTCACCTGCACCAGTAGGTTGGGGATGCTTAACCATCTGTTTCTGAGGAGGTTAGCCTTGTAAATTTTGGTGCACAGCTTGCTCATAGTTGGAAGAAGTGGGTTTGTGCTTCAACACTTGAGTTGATGGTGTTGTGATGAGTGGTTTTACATTTACTGCTTCCAATTAGAAGGAAAGCCAGAGCTTGTAGGCACCATGCTATATTCTCTAAACTTTGCTGTTCCTCGATTGAGTGTGGTGTTGGACTTCCAAGGTGTACTTTATGGCAACATTTTCCTTGCGATGGAGGCTTCATACAATTTATAATGCTAGCTTACAAAGACATTATAATTTGCATCCGAAGCAACTTTCATCTGATAGGGGGCAAATAACACTACGAGACTTATCTCACAACAAAGTAGAAAAAATAACCGCCGCATAACTTAATACTGGTATTCAGAGGCAAGAGAGAGATCAACATAGGCTTTGTGGGGGGAATGTGGGATAAAAGAATATATAATTAGAAAAACGGAATGCAAATCCTCCTAAAAACTAAATGTGTTTTATCTTTATTTTTAGGATAAAAATAGATATTAATTGAATGGAAAGACAGAATGTACATCTTTGGGGTGCTGGGTATGGGCTAGAGATCATTTTTATATGTATAAAAAGGAAATGAAAATATCAAGCAGAAGTGGCTAAAAGTTTTAACAAAGCTTTCCAATCTCTTTGCACATCTGTAATAGAAATTTTGTTGTAATGTGTTTGAAGAGGAGAGACAACTCTGAAATATGGGCATTTCTCTCCATCCAAAAACACTGGAGAACTTCGTGTACAACCTATGTCCTTAAACTCGGCATCCCTGCCTTTGCATAAACCCTTAAAATATTTATTTATGTGAAAGGATGATCATGAAAACATGTTTTCTTCTGCACTGATATCAGGATTATTTCTGGGATCTACACTCTTTTATTATTTGCTTTTGCTATTTTGGTCATCTGGAGCATAAATAGGAAATGGCTTTAATTTCTGCATGCCTTCATAATTATTCCATTATTTCTTCTTTTACTCTACCTTTCTAAATGATGTACACTTCCTTAAGATCAAGCTGACTCTTGTAGTTGGTAATTGTGTGTTAATAATTCTTCTTTTACTCTACCTTTCTATGTGATATATTATTTTTGCGTCAATGCTTGAAAATGTGTGCAATTGTTGGTGCAGGTTTTGATATGCCGAAATGAGGCTGAAAAATGCTTAATTGAAACATCTATCAATTCATTGCGGATAAGTCTCAAGGTATATCTTCTTTTTTTTTTTAGCAGGACTCCTTTTTTTTTTTAATAATGTTCTGTTAAATGATCTAAATTGAGTCTCTGCTGTGATACTGTAACAATTTGGTCCCTGGGCTATTAAATTTGCAGTGTTTCTTTAAGACATGAGCATCTGTTCAGGCTCAAGATATCTTTCATAAACTTGTGTTTTTTCTTCATGCTTCTTCCATTTTAAAAGTAAGCTTCCTATTTATAGTTAGCTGTTGATGTACTACATAATAGAAATTGTAAAACTTCAGATTTATGTACTGTTCAGTGTCCAGTCTGTACTTCTCATGAGTTTTGAAACATGTTCTACTTGGTGTATTGGAAATTTGGAATAACTAAACAGAGAATGGATAGGTAGAGGTGAGTAGAATTTGTCAATAATAAGAGAAAAAAATTGTTTCACTGTGCATTTAAACTTGGTGCTACTGGCACCAGTCCAAGAATTGATAAATTTCAATATAGTACCTTTTCTTTTAGAGTCAGGACTGACAATCTTAGAAATTTCAATATGTGAGGCCATATATGATGAGAAATGCAAATTAGTGTTATAGCTTTTGCTGGAACAAGTTGTCTACATTCTATGAAAAAGTTAGATTGAGCCCCTTTATATCACTTAGTTATTTGTTTTAGAATAGATACATCGTCTTTACTTTGATAATATTTGATAGTTACTGGGTGTCGTTTCTTGCCCCATATAGTTAGATGTATGTACCATGTAAGATCCATGTTCAGAAGACCTTGTGTGCGAGAGTGATAGGAAATGTTGAAGTCTATTAACTTATCTCCTCTTGTTAAGTAAATTTAAATTTGGGAATTTAGATAATAAAAAATGTTAATTATTCAACAACTGGACTGTTTATTTAACTCAAAAGGGGAGCAGTTTGCAGTTCAATGATCATATTACTAGGGTCAATTGTGCTCTAATCAGTTTTTAAGATAATATTTTATTGAGTGTGTGTAATTTATTTAATATTGAGATAATACATTCATCCTGTATAGCCGAAAATCGTGCCATCTCTTTTCAAATGAAAGCATCTTGATAATGTAGCTCTAAATCGGCAACATATCTTTCATTCAACTGAGGGTGCTTAATTGTTTGTGCAATTTAATTTTATCAGCAGATTATCAAATAAACTCTGAATAAGAGTTTGCTTTCAAGCATCAAATTCACAAGAGATATACCATTTCATTATAATTTATCCCTAATTCTTTATTTTTTATTTTATTTCATCCTGTGCAGGTGAAGCAGGCTGATGAACTGGAAAACATACTGACCAAGAAATTTCTAAGATTTTTGTCAATGAGAGCTGAGGCTTTTCAAGTACTGAGGAGAAAGCCTGTTCAGGTCTATATCTCTTAGCATTAAAGTATTTTTTCCTTTTTCTTTTTCTTTTTTAACTTGGCAGTGATGTCTGGTGATAATTTGTCTGATTGATTAGTGGTATGTTTAGTTACTGTCTTACTGATAATGGACATCAATTGGAGATAGGTGCAAAGGCTGCAGAAGGAGGGATAAATTTGCGTGAAATTTCATTGAATGTTTTGATTATCATAGTATTTTGTTGAGGTTGCTTCCTAGAGTGTAATGCATGCTGATGTAGTTTATTCTTTGCATACATTTTTCCTTGATATTTTTTTTCCATTCACTTGGTAGTAAACAATTTCTTGATTAAAACATACTTCCATTTTTCTTGGTAACATCTCACTGATTATTAATCTCATCTTTTCTGTTGCTTCTCTTGGCAGGGATATGATATTAGCTTCCTTATAACAAATTACCACTGCGAGGAGATGCAGAAGCAAAAACTCATTGATTTTATAGTGCAATTTATGGAGGCAAGAATTTTGTTGACCCTATAACTTGTGTTTGCATTTTATTTTGTGGCTTGTAGTAATTATCTAAATTAGTGATGCTGTATGATCTATGGAATGACTTATCAAAAACATTAGCAGAAGGGGTTCTCTGGAACATGATTCTCCTTGGTAATTGGTGCAAAATAATAGATTAACATAAAATAAAATAAAATATAAAAAATAGAACAAAATTTTGATATTCTTTATTAGATATTAGATTAGATACTAGATTATCTTTCATTACCCAAAAAAAAAAGATATTAGATACTAGACCATATACTTGAGCTTTAAAATGGGGTAAGGTGTACAAGTGTTTTGTTTAGAGATTTTTCCTGCCAGGTACTTGTACTTGTGGTTGGGTATTTGGAATAGTTCTTAAAAGATTTGCTGATGATTTGAATCAGAGCATGTTGATGTTTTTGTTTATTTTTTCTATAACCTTCCCGACATTTAAAGTGGGGCTACTCATTGATCTGTTGTACATGAAATTGTTAATACTAAAAAGATTCTGTCTTCTATTTTAGTTCTGTTGAATTGTTGGTAATTAAGTACAATAATGGCCTTCAAATTACAGGACATTGATAAAGAGATAAGCGAGCTCAAAATGTCGGTGAACACACGGGGGAGGCTTGTAGCTACAGAATTTCTGAAGCAGTTTATATGATGTTTCAGACTAGTTAAAACTGCCAAATCCGTGTAAATTATACTGTTGCAGGTCTAGTGTCACTTCACTTATGAAGTGGTTGGCCCCTTGAGCCAATGGTTTGTGTTTTTTATTATATTTACTAGAAGTTCAGAATAAATTTTGTAGAGTTTAGTGCAGTATATAAAGAAAATATGATAAACCTGCATGTCGCTTCGGAGAAGATGAAGCTACTAATAGTTAGCACATTTCCTTTCAATGAAAATAATATAGTCTGACTTTGCCGTTAAATTCCTATTATTGAAAAACAAAAATTTCTAGAACAGATGAAGAAAAAAGATTCTTAATGGGAAGGAAACTAAAATGAGTTTACAGAAGTACACACCTAATGTACGTTCCAAACTGTGTAGAACGTAGGAGTGAAATTTTCATCTTTCCAATGCCCCGGCATTAAACGCACAAGTATTTTGTTATACGTTTAAATGCATCAGAAAGAGGGAGATTCCATTTCATTCCAAACATAGCATTAATTATAGGCGAAATCTACCATACATTTATGTGGTTCATGGGCGGATCAATAAAGCAAAATGTGATTTATTGACGAAGAAGTAAAGAATATAATTAGATATATAAATAATTAAATTGAACGGTTCAAGTTTATTTGGTAATAAAAAAAATATTAATGTATTAATTTTGTCTTTTGATATTAAATGATTATTTTGTGCAAATATAAAATAATCTTAAATCCCACTCGATTACCTTGATCCTTCCTTCCACTTTTTCACCATCATTGTCCTTTTTTGCTTTTCCTATGTTGACTCCAACAATTGGATGAGCACCTTCATCATTATTGGCAATATCCACCATTGAAGCTAAACTTGAACTTGAAGAGAAATAGCAAGTATCAAAAAGTAGAGAAGGTCCATGAATACAAAATTTTTTATTTAGTTTCCTTCAAGGAGGAGATCAACATGGTTGTCGACCTCCATCGCCCTCGCTCACTGTAAGATCACCCTGTCTATTCCATTGCCTACACTCTCTCGACCTCACCCAAACAATTTCGCCTTCCCTTTCTTCCTCTCCCATGTCACCTTTGCCCTTCTCTACCATGCCCTTGTCAGTCACGACTCCGTTCTCAAGCTCGATTTGTCCTTTAACTACCACATCACCCACTCCTTCGTCATCGTGCACTCATGTGGGACCACCCTCCCCACTCCACATTCGACACTGTCACACACCCTTTCCACAACTATACCTTCTTCATCGAAAGTCAACTCAAGACCTCGAAGCCTTAACCTCCTTCCATAAATCCACCTTGCCTACATCAAGTTCGATAGTGATAGCGGTCGATAGGTGGCCATCCACGACGAGTGAGTCTATAGCAAGTGCGTTGCTGTTAGAGTAAAGAGCAAGTGGTGGCTGTTGGGTTTAGTGCAAATAGCTTATCGAAAAAAAAGGACTTTTTAGTATTTTTAAATAATTTAAAAATAAATAAATAAATAAAAATAATTATTGTTCACTTGTCCACCGATGAAAAATATGATAAACTTATCCACCTTAATTCATGCCTTAATTATATGTCATGCATCATTGATGAAATTGAATTGTTTGTTATTTTCAGTTAGATCCTTACAATGACAATGTTGTGTAATGGTAAATGATATTTGTAGAGGAGAATAATTAAAATTGCTTATAATATTTTTTCCTCAATTTTTTTTAAATTAAATAAGCTTTACTTGAATGATATTTAAGTGAAGGAAAAAAATTTAGTACAATTTCTTAGATGTGATTGGTACTACTCTCTAATCAGAATTGGAGATTTACTTCGATAATATACACTTGAATTTAATGTAGATTTTATTATATATATTTATACATATTATCTAGATAACTTTTTAATTATAATTGGATAATAGTATCAACCAGATCTAAAAAATTGTACCTAAGTTTTTTTCTTAAGTGAATCATATTTTGTTGAATTTCATACAAACATTGGCTTACAACCTTCAAAAAGTTTGAACTTCAAACCACTTTTACTTCTCTAGTTTGGTACAACCTTATTCCCAAACTTGTGCATCATACCAAATATTGTGTTTACGAGGTACATAGCCACCATCCATCTTTCATTAAAAAAGCTCTGTTCATAGCTTGTGACAATCAAAATGTTAAGCCACCCAATTGCTTTGGGGTGTGGACATCCTTCCAAGATTTTATATGAATCTTTTTATTACTTCCAGTGTCTCCCTATATGATGGAACCTCCAATGAAGATAAATGACCGAATTCTTCATTGTTGCTCCTTGAATCCACTTGATCCTTCCTTGATGTGCTCCAATTGAATTTGACCGAACAAGATGAATGAAATAAGAAGGAATAGGTGTGCCAAGTCTCCTAGAAAAAGAGAAACCAACAAATGCACTAGTCTACAAGAAAGTTTTCCTTGTTGGAAGTGCTCAAGGAAAATGATTCTTCAATGAGACTTCTAAGAGAGAAAATGAGAGAATTCTGAAAATTATAATACTCATATACTCAAAAGTGTCACACAAAATGGAGAGAAAGGCCTTAAATAGATCTAGGTGGCTTATAGGAAAAGCTAGCTTAACCAAAGTTCAAAATGAACCAAGATTAGCTAACTAAGGTAGGTTGGCATGCCAATTTGAATTTGAAATTCAAATTGGTGCATGAACCTTCCCTCCATCATGTGCTCCCATGTGCACTTAGATCTAGGATTTGAATTGATACATTTGAATGCCATGTGATGAACATTTGCATTTGAATTTAGGAGTCCATGTGCGCCTAACCACATGGTTGATCACATGTGCTTCTAATCCAAATCAAACGTGTGTCTAAATCCAAATGAACAATTTAAATCCTTAGACTCAACCTATACTACTTGGCCCAAGAAATACAAAACCCACAAACCCTACACTATAAAACCCAAAATACAAATCCAAAAAAATGCAAGCCTAGTCAAGGCCTAATGTCTCACACTACTAGGCTCATAATACAATACCCAAAATAAGAATTATTAGGCTTTAAGTAATAGCTTAACTCTAAAGAAGCTAAGACCCATTAACCTCAGCACTGGGCCAATCCTCCTAAATCCTCTAATCATGGTCCTAGGGTGGGTCTCTTGGCTATGCCTTTATTATCACCATATGAAACATTTGCATTGTTTTTTTTGCCAATCTTATCGCAAATAGAGATTGGTTGTGACACATATTGCATGATATAGCTAGGAATGGACTGCAACATTGATTTTGCTAAGGTGATTCACCCAACTATCAATAACATGCTACTCTTCCAAGTACTTAATTTTTTATTCACCTTATCCAACAAAAACTAAAAGGTTTATTTGTTTGGCCAAAAATGAAAGATTGAAACTCCGAGATACTTGCCCAAGTTTTCAACACTTTGGAAGTTTCATTTACCACAAATCTCCTCTCTCACATTTCACTTGACATTTTTGGAAAAGTAAACTTTGATTTTTTCTTTATTAATTTTTTGTCTAGAGCTTTTACAGAAAACTTTAAAGTTTATAGCTTCAACTTGCTCAATACTAACTTCTGTAAACAATATCAGGTCATCAGCAAAGGTAGATGCAAAATCAAAGACCCTCCTTTATTCAGTTGGACTAGGCTTTGTATTATTATACCAACCATAATATTTATGAGGTTAAATAATAATTCTATGCATAACACAAAAAAGGTATGAAGTTATTAGATCTACTTGTCTCACTCCTTTATGCGGCAATTTTTTTTATAAGGATTCACCATTCTAAAGCACCTTTATAGAGACAGTTGTGATTAGAGCTGTCAAAGTGGGCCGGAACCCGTGGGCCAACCCGGCCCACCTTGAAAACGGGCCGGGTCGGGCCAAAAAAAATTGAAGTTTTATAGTAAGTGGGTATATCTCAACCCGGCCCACTTTGACCCGGCCCACCTGGGCTAAACCCGTGGTGGGCCGGGTGGCCCACCAACCCACCAAATTTTTTTTTGCAATAAAAATTTAAGTATAATTTGTAATTAATTTTGTATGATAGTATATTAAAAAATTTTATTTTAGACTTTTATCATGATTTGTATTTAATTTTGTATGATGAATTATGACTTATAACTATTAATGATGTTAATTTTATGATTATTATGTTAATTTATAATTAATTTAAAATTTTAAATTTTGTTAATAATAATTTTTTAATTTTTGGTGGGCTGGTGGGCTGGCCCGTATAACCCACCAACCCGTGGTGGGCAGGGCCGGGCCAAATTTTTTTTGAGAAAATCACAAGTGGGCCGGGTTGGGTTGGCCCGTTTTTAAAGTGGGTCAAGGTGGGCCGGCCCACATGGGCCGGGTTGGCCCGTTTTGACAGCTCTAGTTGTGATGCAATGCTAGATAAGTTCAACAAAATTAATTGGACACCCGAGGTCCTATAGAGTCCCTTTTTATTTTGCATGAAATGGAAAACCTACCAAGCAATAATAATATTAATGTCATGACAATTGAAAATAAGATTGCATTTAATTAAAAGTTATTAAGTGGTATAATATAATTAATAAAAATTATATTGGGTATCTTAAAACTCATATTAACACATAATTTTTATTTAGCTGACAATATAAAATTCACAACGACACGTTATGTTTATTATACGTATGATAACTTTATTATTTTATTGACAAATTAGATTTTATACTTAAAAATTACAATATAAATTATCTGTTATAAATTAAAATATATTCATAAAAAATATTTATTTATTACATATTTTAATAATAATAACATAATTTATATATTCAAAATATCAATTTTAGTTACACGTATAAAAAAAAAAAAGATTATAAGTTAAGTCTGATTGCTTGTTATTTATTTATTTATTTTTTTGAAGATTACACGTTAAGTCTGATTGCTCTTCCAAATCGCTGCGTAGACGAACTAGTATATATACAAGCAAAGCTACCGAAGCCTCACCGCCTTTAATAGTTATAGTACTAGCATTAGTATTAGTATTAGGATTAATCTCTCGCTCTAATATTATTATTATTCCTTCTAGTTCGCTGCTAGTGCTACTCATACTTATTCCTTCGCTTCCTTTTGTTTCCCGCGAATGTATAACCACCAATACACTTTTCGCGGCGGCCATCAACCCCCGCCGCCGCCCCACC